CTGAAAGAGAATGGTTGATTTCCTCTTCTAGTCTATTTCCTGGGGTTCTCGTCTCAGTAAATGGCACTACCATCTACCTAATTGCTCTGGCCTGTCCCTGGCGCTTCTTTTTTTTTTTTTTTTTTCCCTATAGGATGTGTATGCTCACTGGAGAGAGACAGAGAGAGAGAATGAAGAAAAGTGAAAAATTGCTGTACCCATCCCCACCCTACCCTGTGGGGGGGTGGCCATGCCACAATCCATTCTCCTCTATTCTCCTCTTGGGATTTTGAACATGCAGGTACATACATGTGCCTGGCATGTTTTTCAAGCCACCAGGTGTGGCACTGGAATCACATGGTCGGCCATGTGGGATCCACTGCCTTAACCTCCACACCATCTGCTAGCCCCACACCTCTTCTCATTACATCGCCCAGACTGATCCCATCAGCAACCCCTCTTGGCTCTGTAATGAAAATACAGCCCAAATCTGATCTTATCACCTCCATTTTTCACTACCCTGGGATAAACCACCTCCCATCTGGATGCAGGAACCTCGAAACTGGTCTCCCTGCCTCTACTCTTAGAGCCTTACCTCTCTCAATAGTATCCAGAGTCACTATTTTAACACATCAGTCTGTTCATTCCATAAACTCACATGAAGCTGCCAGTATATTCCCAGCACTCTTAGTATAAAATACAAACTCCTTCCTTTGGCTTGGCAAGCCCTGCATGATCTGTTCCTTTGGTATCTTTCCAAACTCATGTTCTACTACCTTCCTGTTCCCTCTCTGAGGTCCAGCCATATTGACCTATTTGCTCAAACAAACCATGCATGTTCCTGCCTTGGGGATTGATATTTCTCCACCTTGTGACGATCATTTTCCAGGAGGCTTTATTTTTTTTCCTTAATTCAGATCTGACCTCATCCCCTCAGAAAGGTTGACACTGCCTGGTGCATTGAGGAGGAATCTTTCTCACATCATTTTCCCAAAAGAAATCTATAGTCCAAATTATTGGTTGGAGTTTAAAATGGCATTTGGTGGAGTAAGAAGGTACAGAGTAGAACATAAACCTTTAGGGTTTCTGACCCCTACTGCCTTGGAGGGTCCAGACATCCTTCTTCAAGTTTCAAAAAAGGCAAGTGGTGTTATATGTCAGTTAGAAAGGAGAATAAATTCACCTATTCAGATGTCCTTCCCCACACTCTATGCTCTGTTTCAGTGGTTCTCAAGAGGGCATGATTTTTGTCCACCACCACCACCACCATCAGAGGACATTTGTCAATGACAGCAGATAGTGTAGATTGTCATAACTGGAGGGGAGGTACTACTGGCTTCTAGAGGGGGTAGGCCAGGGAAATGGTTAAGACTGAAAACCCGTAGACCTGTATTTTCTTTCCATCTCATTCTTCTCTGGTAACACACTTGTAACCTGTGTTAACAACATATGCAAACAATTCTAAGACTAGCAGTTGTTTAAGCTTGGTAGTAAGTAAAAGAGACAAATAAAGAAGGCACATAAATATTAGAAGGTGTTTTCTGATTTATGGAGTTGAACGCCATAGTAATTCGTCAACAGGCGAAGTGTTTCCACTCCAATTCATACTTTTTGAGCTCTTGTTTTGGATTTGAATTATACAGCTGCTGCATTGCACTTTCTTTGAACACATTTCAGATTATAGTTCATTTCTCTGTAGTATATTTTACCTTGTATACTGGACTGACTGAGAGCCACCCTGTCAGTGTTTATAGAAAGACAAGCCACAGTGTCAATGCTTACTTGCACAGTTAGGAAAAAACATCAGGGACTTCTTGTCACCCACACCAGCCCGTGAAACCAGAATAATCTTGTCTTCATAGAAATTTAATCTTGGTCTACCCATTCAAAGCAAATAAACAAGTCTCTATTGGCCATCTGCCCTGTAGTCCCTTAGGCTAGAGAGACTCCATCTTGTGCATTCTATCTGACCCAGTCTCCTGGTTGAGAGGCAGTTACAGTGGGCCTAGCTTCAAGACTGAGCAAGACACCAGCCTCTGAGATTCCCTTCTTGGTCACTCATTATCAATCCAAGAAGCAGGTGGGAGGAAGGGCTCCAACCTGAGTCAGGACAATCAGCAAATTGTGCTTGAAATTTGGACTTCAGTCAGAGAGTCAAGATAAATCTTCCCAGGTACTTGAGTTTCAGGGCATAAAACATGGGAGGTGTTGTCAGTAGAAGAGAAGAAAGGAAAAGCAGGAGCTAAGGGGGAAAATCGGGTGACATGCTTGAAGTTTATCATGTCCCTTGGCCAACTGTAGTTAGCATCCCTGCCCAGTGACTTGAAACACACAGCAGGCACATGTGTATGCATGCCCAAATCCCAAAAGGGTGAAGAAATGGAGAAGTGATTATAGTATGACAATGCCCTATTGCAGGGTGTTTTCTCTTTCTCTCGGTCTGTCTCTGGTAAGCACATGTATCTTCTGGCAATTAAAAAAAAAAAAGGAATTAAGGAAAAAAAAAAGGCCTAGTCTGTTGACAGCCAGATATGGGTAAGTGTCCTCACTACTATACCCTTTATCTCTGGGGCCAATTATTGACTCTTGAGTTTTTTGTGGGATTTTTTTGTTTGTTTCTTTTAGTTGTTTGGTTTTTTGTTTGTTCGTTATTTAGATTTCTGTCATAGGGCACATGTGCTCACCAGAAAGAGAGAAAAAGTGAAAAATTACCCCCCAGAGGGGATAGCCATGCCACAATACTTTCTCCTCCATTCTCCTCTCAGGATTTTGGGCATGCTCACACCTTGAGTGATTTTCAAGCTGCTCTGTCTGGTATTCAAACTGTGGTTGGCCAGGTGGGAGTCTAGCACTTTAACCACCACACCACCTACTGGTCCCTGGCTTGTTTGTTTTTAAACAAATTCTTACTGCTGCATTCTTTCTGCCTCAACTTCTCGGTTGCGTTTCCACGTGCATGCCACTTCACATAACTTTAGGTTGAACCAGAAATCAAACCCACGCCTGCCATGTGGAACATAGCATTTTAGCAGCACACATGATGGCTGGGCTCAATCCTTAGTTTCTTCATCTGCAAAATGGAGATAGCCGAGTTGCTGAATGAGTCAATGATATATTGTAAACAACATTCTTTGGCCCAATAGGCGCCTGGTTAAAGTTATTTCTAGTCTATTCCAAGTTTTTCGTTTATAATTAACTGCAGTGACTAGAACTAATAAAATGTTTTAAAGCGTGGTAATAACCAGCATCCCTCTATAGTTTTTACTATTAAATGTATTGCTAAAATAGATTTTTTTTTTTGCATTCTGTCAAGGAAGCGTTCTTTTATTTCTGGTTTATTACAAGGATTTTTCTTCTCCAAAAAGTAGTGGTAGATACTATCAAATAACTCTTCAGCTTCTAATAAAAAAAGTTATATGATTTTTGTTTTTTAATCTTATAATTATTATTATGACAGACTTTCTAATATTAAGCTATCCTCAGACTCTTAAGGTTCAACTTCCTTAATTATTTTTGCATTATTCTGGGAATAAATTAGTAGGTTTAATTCCCTTGTGATTTATTTATGAATAATATGCCTTTGGTTTTTTTTTTCTTGTGTTATCTTTTCCTCTGGTTCTTTTTACCTATAATCTCTTCAGAATCAATAATATTGTCTGTTATTTCATGAAAGAAAAAATCAACTACTAAGACTAGCAATTGGTATAATGGCTATGTCGCTGGCCTCCCACGTACTTGACAGTGGTTCGAGTCCCAGACTCGGTGGCTTAAACTCATGACAGGCATGTGTGTGTGCGTGCCCAAGATCCTGAGAGGAGAATGGAGGAGGAGGGATTGCAGCGTGGCCATCCCCCCCTGGGGGGTGATTTCTCGCTTTCTGTCTCTCTCTCTCTCTCTGTCTTTCTGGTGAGCGCACGTGCCCTATAGCAAAAACCTCTAAAACAAAAATCAACTACTTCAAATATGCCAATTTGAAGTGTTATTATAATTCTGCTTATTCTATGTAATCAGATAATGTATTAACTCTGACATCTTTATAGTGGGTATGGAGTAGGAAACCTTTTGAATTTAAAAAGAGCCTCATCCAAGGCAGTGGAGGTGGTTTGGTTGGAAATTCCAACTGCGAAGATTTAAGAAAAGTCCCAAGTAAGACCATGACTGGATGAAAAAACAGTTAGATAGGAAACTAGGAAGACTCAGTTAGGAGGCAGATGCCAGAGGTGGGCCCATGTGGCGGGGACAGCACAGGCAGCTGGACGAGGCAGACAGGAAGCGGATCTAAGAGCAAGGCAACGATGGGGTCGAGGTCCAAGCACTTCTGCATTTAGCTAAGCAGGTCACCAGCAAGAACTCTAGAAAGCCCCAGCAAAGGTTTAAACCTTTACATGCAGGTGGCCAGGTCTATCTGACTGGTTCTTTGCATCAGAGACCTTGTTCTTTTCTTATACACGGCTGGCAGTATTAAATACGGATGCTGGCTCAGCTTGTCCCTTAGCGCTCTGATTCCATGGAACTTTTCCCACCGTCTGGGAGCACAGCGGCCATATTTGACTCATCCTTAAGTGCTCCCCCTCCCAGCATGGACTTCGGATGATATTTATTGAATGGGTAAGGCTGCACATCCAGGAAGCTGTCTGTGTCTTTGGGTCAGATCCTCCCCGGTTCAATCCTCCTGTTCAATGTAGGCTGTTTCTCAAAGATTCCTGATTTCCCCTTACTAGTGATTTCTTCTTCTTGGGTCTTCAGACTCCCAGGTCTGAGCAGAGATTCTGGAAACATGACACTAGTCTGGTACACAGGGGTGAGGAGGGTTCCTTTAGGACATACCAAGCACATAGGCATTATGTATGATGAAGCGTAAGGAGAACGCATATCTCCCTTACGTAATCTATTGGCAAATTCCTCAAGCAGCTTAGAATGAATACTCTAAAGAAACTCATCAAATAATAATACAAACTGAAATATTTAACACTGTAACTTCTCACCCACCTTTCCATCTCTCTGCTTTGCTCACGTTCCAGGTTCAGGTTCAGCGGTCGCATCTTAGGCCTGGCTCTGATCCATCAGTACCTTCTCGATGCTTTCTTCACGAGGCCCTTCTATAAGGCGCTCCTGAGGCTGTAAGTGGATTGCAGAAGTGAATGGCAGACCATGGCTACCCCAGGCCCTGCGCAGGACAACAGCACTGGCCTCCCTGACACCTCTGGTCCTTTTGTTGCTTTTTTGTTTGTTTGCTTTTTTCTTACTAGTTTACTTTGTGGAAGATTACAGTGTGGCTTTTCACCACACGCATACAGCAGTAATAATCAAATCGCAGATATAGACATGATCATCTTCAGCATAGAACACCATCTGTTAGGTTTATGGCCATTCCCTGTTCTGCGTACTTGGACAGCACATAACCCTCTAGCACAATAAATGAAAAGACATTCAGAAACTGTGTGGATCTAGAGAAAACTCTTTTATCAAAATGTCATGACGTGGATAGGAAGCAGTTTACATCAAAAATACAACCATATTACAAACATGGCCTGAAGTTATTAAGGAGAATTGTTTATAACTTAGTTGTTTTAAAACACTTTTCTCCAGTTGCCATGGAAAGTACTCAGGAGTTGGTAATAATTTTATGCTTATTACCATAAATAATACCATTTCCCTTTACAGAGAAAAAACGTTGAGCCAAAATTATAAGAATTGATCCGTCACTATATTCCAAAGGATCCGATTACTGGAATAAACCCATGATATTGTATGTCTAGGCGTGGTATAACCTAGGCAGCCATTTGTTCAGTAATTCTGTTTGCTCTCTCCCTTTGAATGTATCCAGGCCCTGCGATTTGAGCGACCTGGAGTATCTGGACGAGGAGTTCCACCAGAGCTTGCAGTGGATGAAGGACAACAACATCACAGATATCCTAGACCTCACTTTCACCGTTAATGAAGAGGTTTTTGGACAGGTGTGTGTCATACGAGGCTTTGAAGCAGGCTTTTAATTTTTTCACTGTGGAAATGCACATACCACAAAATGTATCATCTCAACTCTTTTTAAGTGTGCAATTCAGTATCATCAAGTATAGTTACTTTTCCTGCATCCAGTCTCCAGAGCTTTTTCATCTTGTAAAACTGAAACTACCCAAAAAATAACTCTCCACTTCTCCAGTCCCCCCAGTTCCTGGCAACTACCATTCTACTTTGTTTCTATGAAGACGGCTATTCTAATACTTCATGTAAATAGAGTCATATCATATTCATCTTTTTGTGACTGACCACTATAATCTCAAGACCTGTCCATGTTGTAGCACATGTCTGAGTTCCCTTCCCTTTTGAAACTGAGTAATATTTTCTTATATGTACACCTCACATTTTCTGTATCCATTCATCTGTTGATAAAACCCTCGTGTCTCTTCTGGGAACATAGCTGTACAAAATTCCATTCAGGCCTTTGCTTTCAGTTCTTAAGTGGAACTGCTGATCAAACGGTAATCAAACAAAGAACAATTCATTTAAAACATCATTCTTTGAGGGCTAGGCCATAGTTAAGAGTCCAGTAGCTACGAAGCCAGATCCACCTGTTTGAATTCTGACCACAGTTTGGATCCCAGCCCCAGGGATTTGTCCATGCATGCTCCCAGATCCCAACAGAATGGAGAAATGGAAGAAAAGAGATTGTGGCCTGGCCATACCCCGTTGAGGTTTGCTTTTTGCCTTCTTCCTCTTTCCTTGTATCTCTTTGTCTCTCTCTGGCAAGAACACGTGCCCACTCACAATTTTAAAAATAACCTAGGAGGACTACTGCCTTTAATAAACCTTCCCATGTTCTTTGCCTCCTTTTCCTTGTTATGACATGGATCTACTTCATGGATTTTTTGAAAACCACACGTAGACAATGGGTGAGAAAGGGTTTTTGTAAAGTATGCCATACGTATGGAAGGTATTTCAGTTATCTGCACAACTAGGAGGTCATTCTTCCTATCACGTCTAAATACTTATTCCTCCAAAATGCATATATTATGTCGTCAGGAAAGTCATGATACGTTTTCACTTAGAAAACAACCAATTTCTCAATACTACATAATAAGGCAAAGTTCCCCATTTGTTTCCTACAGGCATTTATAAAACATTGACTCTTGATCAAGTGGGTTACAGTTTTATCAGAACATAATGGTAGACTAAGCCCATTGAACAGCCAAGGTGTCAAGAACATCTTTATAAGAAACTCTGTAAGTCCCTAATAGAGTAACTTATCATAGGGTTGTTGTGGAACTTAAGCTGGAATACTTCGTAAGAACCTTACATGAATGTGGACAGTGCCCTGAGCCTGCAGATGAGTGTCACCCACTGAAAGCTGCAGACCACCCAGCAGCCACTTCTCAATCAACAACCTTAGAACAGTCCTGGAAAAAGTCCATTTTTCTGTTGTATTTCCTTCATATAAACAAACCTCCGGAGAATGCTCTCTTACATATTTGAGAATAAATAGATTTTCTTACAACAATAGTGAACACATTTACATATTTTCTTTTCTTTTTCTTTTTCTTTTTTTTTTTTGGAGAGGTTTTTTGCTATAGGGTGTGTGTGCTCGCCAGACAGACAGAAAGAGACAGAAAGTGAGAAATCACCCCCCCAGGGGGGATGGCCATGCCGTAATCCCTTCTCCTCCATTCTCCTCTCGGGATCTTGGGCACGCACACACATGTGCCCGGTGCGAGTTTAAGCCACTGGGTCCGGGACTTGAACTGTGGTCGACTACGTGGGAGTCCAGCAACATAGCCATTACGCCAACTGCTGGTCCCCACATTTACATATTTTCAAGAACATGCCACTCATGGAGCTGCCCAACCATGTTATAAATGAATAAGTAAAACATGTGGTCCCTGTGCAAAATGGCTTCTAACCGTCCTTCACATTTGTCCCAGGCTACAGAGTAAATTTATAAACTATACAAAATTATTTAGCAAATTATACTAAGAAAACTGGATAGTCATACTAAACATTTTTAAGTAAAATTCTTAACCTAACTCATTACACTGAGATAAATCGGATATCTAAATGTGAAAAATAAGGAAAAAAGAAGAATTTTTTTTTAATTTTTTAAAAATTTTACCAGAGAGCAGGTGCATTCATAAGAGAGCGAGAGAGGGAAAGGGAAAAAGCAACCCCCATGAAGGGTAGTCACACCACAATCCCTTCTTTTCTATTTCTACCCACTTTGAGGATTGGGGCATGCACGTGTATGTACCCAGCATGTTTTGCAAGCCACCAGATCCAGGCCTTGGACCACACAGTTGGCCATGTGGGATCCAGCTGCCTTAACCACCATGCCACCAGCTGACCTCACAAAGGCTATTTCCTTCAATATCTGAAGAGAACCAACAGCTAAATAGGAAGTGATCAGCCAATGCCCAAAAGAAAATTAGGAAAGAATATAAATAGGTCATTCCTGGAAAAGAAAATATGGGGAGATTTTCAACTTCATTCACAATTTTTAAATTATTTACTTATTTAAGAGAGACTTTTGCTATAGGACGCATGCACTTGCCAGAGAGAGACAAAGAGAGGCAGAGCCAGAAAGCTAGAAATCACCTCCCAGAGGGGATGGCCACCACAGTCCCTTCTCCTCTAGTCTCCTCTCAGGACTTTGTGCATGCACGCACATGCACCCGGCAAGTTTCAAGCCACCAGGTCCGGGACGTGAACCACAGTTGACTACATGGGAGTCCAGCGACATAACCATTATACCATCTGTTGGCCCCCACAATTTTTTTAAATGTAAATTAAAACAATAGTGAGGGGGCCAGCAGGTGGTGTGGTGGTTAAGGCACTGAACTCTCACATGGCCAGGAAAGACTGGAGTCCCAGACCCACAGCTTGAAAGACACCCCAGGCCCATGTGCGTGAGTGCCCAAAATCTCAAGAAGAGAATGGAAAAGAAGGGATTGCAGCATGACCATCCTCCTTGGGGGGCAATTTCTCACTTTCTCTCTCTCATACATACTCAAGAGCAAAAATTTAAAAATAAACAATTAGCTCACATTTAGCTGTGAAGGCGTCAGGTACGTGTTTGTAGCACTGGTACATTCAGCTCCACCCTTAGGGACAACCTGGGATATTGTCTCTTTATTTCCACAATGCCTCTTGAGTTAAGAAAACATGTGTCTGCTTTATAAAACAAAAAAAATGTATCTCTTCCAAGATGCTTAAGAGTCTGTTTAGAACAGCCAGAGCTGATTGTGTGACTTCCCCACCCCAGGAAAGGGAAAAGAACTGAAGTGGAAGGGATTATTGAACCCATGTAAGGAGGACCGCGTGTACAGTTGTCCTCCTGAAGTCATGTGTCTCCCTGGAAAATAAGCTGCACGGCCAAGCATCACGGCCTTTCTGTTTTCCTACAAGGTAACAGAAAGGGAGTTGAAATCTGGGGGAGCCAACACCCAGGTGACAGAGAAGAACAAGAAGGAGTACATCGAGAGGATGGTGAAGTGGCGGGTGGAGCGCGGCGTGGTGCAGCAGACGGAGGCACTGGTGCGGGGCTTCTACGAGGTGAGGCCAGGCCGGCCTGAGGAAGGCAGGCTGGGGGCCCCAAAGTCTTTGTCATTGCACTCCCAGGCCTCAAGATGCCCTAGGGGATCAGTAGCTCAGGTCTGAGGAGAACAGAGAGAAACAATCAAGCAGGCATGGGCTCAGCTCTGCTCAACAGGGCGCAAAGAGGCCCTCCTGGGGGTGGATGGCTGAGGGGCAGAGTTCCTGGGAAACCTAATAACTGTCATCGGTGAAAAATCCTCTCAAAAAAAACATGTTGGTGTGGCCCTGGTGTGCCAGCTGTGAAAATATGCAGCATGTCTCGTCAAGTTATGTGCAGGTAATGCGTCCTTCATTCGGTGAGACAAGAATAAGTGATGGAAGAAGGCATGGAGGGTATTGTCCACCCATACTAGATTTTTTTCCTGTGTCCAGCTAAGGCAGGCTTCTGTTCTGAAATGTTTAAGTCATTGACTGCCTTAGTCCATTCTGGTATTTTGCTGTTACAAAATACCAAAACTAGGTAACTTAGAAGCACCAGAAACTTAGTTCTTACACTTCAGAGGCTGAGAAGTCCACCATGAAGGCGCTGGCAGTCTGCAAGGACCCACTCCTGGTTTGTACATGGAGCCTTCTCAGTCTTCCTCACCTGGTAGAGGGGCTCAGGGGGCTTTCTCGGACCTCTTTAGTAGGAACACTAATCCCATTCAGGAGGGTTCTGCCCCATGGTTTCTGAAAGGTCACATCTATTACCATCATCTCAGGAGTAAAGATTTCAGACTGAATTTGAGGAACAAGAGTGGTATAAACATTCAGATAATAGCAATGATTATACATTTTTAAATGCTTACATGATGTAAAAAAGGCAATTATAAATGATGGTCGGTTTCCCAAGTTACCCCACAGAAATATCGACTGGAACGTCTCTGAGTTTGGACCAGGGTGCTAAGGCCTAGTTTGTATTTCAGGTTGTAGACTCAAGGCTCGTCTCCGTGTTCGATGCCAGGGAGCTGGAGCTGGTGATAGCTGGTACTGCAGAGATCGACCTGAACGACTGGCGGAACAACACCGAGTACCGGGGAGGTGAGCCAGCGGGAGCTGTGACGACGCAGCTATCCCCAGTACATTGCATTCCCAGGAAAATGTCGAGATGACGTTGACATGGCCTAAAACTGACTGCATTCAAGGAAACAATTCAGTGACCTTTAATATATTCCAATTGTTGGGACCAGCAAATGGCGTAATGGTTACATTGCTGGACTCCCACGTAGTCGACTGCGGTTCGAGTCCTGGACCTGGCAGCTTAAAACTTACACCTGGTGGGACCAGCAGTTAGCGTAATGGCTATGTCACTGGACTCCCACATAGTCAACCGCAGTTCGAGTCCCGGACCTGGTGGCTTAAATCTCATGCCGGGCACATGTGCGTG